GGCACAACCCCCCAAGCCACTTAACAACAAACCACTCATTCATCCATTCACACACTTGGGGTGATGAGCTGGTGATCGTAGCCACAGCAGCCCTGGAGCTCACTGACAGGAGCAAGGCCTCCATACCAGGGGCGGATTTAGGACTGAAGAAGATCCGGGGCTTAACACACACACACATGCGCGCAAACATGCACACGCGTGCACACGTGAAACGCACTAGTCAACATCATATATGTCTTGTACCACATCATTTTTAATCTGAAGCTACATATTTAGCATATTCAGGGCAGAGTATTGTTCCTGTTAGTGTTTAGTGTGAGATGATAGTAAATATTCCCTTTCTTTCTCCATCAACTTTACCTGATAGTAAGCTAACTTTAGGCAAACCAGCAGCACAACAAATATTTTCAAATAAGACTCACAAACCTGAGTCAACACCAGTCTCATCAAAGCTGGGGTTCTGTCGTTGTACTTTTGGTCTAAAAAACGTCCTTATGTCCATCTTCACTCATGCGTTTCAGGCAGAGAGTGTAGAAGAAGCCGGCTGCTGAAGGGCTTCTTCTTCAGTGGTGGAGGCTCAGGCAGGCTGTATACAAACTACTGCCAGCTGCTCCCTCTCTGTTGGACTTTGGTACTGCGCATTACTTCCGCGATTTAGATCCGGGGCTTTCCATGAAAGATCGGGGGCTTCAGCCCAAGTAGCCGGGCCTAACGCCGCCCCTGCTCCATACACTGGAACCACCGGTCCCTCCGACCACCGCCATGGGCCAAGGAGGGTGAACTGTCTTGCCCAAAGGCACAATGGCTGTGGCAGACTCAACTCTTCTGCCACCATCCTTTAGAAGCAGGGCCTTGGTGTGATCTGCCGAAAAGCCGAGGCTGAGTGGGGAATTGCCGCTGACACCAAACCATGCGAGGTAGCAGCAGTAAAGTAACGGTCAACGTATAGGCTGGACTTGGGGCTTGAAGATGAATGACAAACATGACGATGCACGTATGCCAACAGCTGGCCACAAGATTTAGTTAGCTAACGATTGACACACATTATTTTAAAAACATGTGAGAAAAAAGTTGGCCAAATATTATTTTCATGAATGAGTGGCAAATTGGGCCAAAGCTAAGTTAAACTGTCTTGTTTTCAAAAGAGTGACGTGGGAAACTTGCATAATGAATTAAATCAACTCTGTGCATTTTTTTATTCTGAGATGGCGGCCTGATTAACAAAAGCTCACCCAGCTGCAACTTGGGACTTACGCAAGAGGTGATCTATGAGGCCAGCGGAAGCCTACAGGTGGCTCATCTCTGCAACCATATCACGGAACTGCTATGTGAAAGGGACTAGTGTTTCATCTCTGGAAAAGTTGATAAATTAGACTTTTCATGACATGTCTGTCTTGTTTCTGTGAAGGCAACAGTGGTTATATCCCTTTGTTCCTTCTTCTGAGATGCGAATACCGGTATCTTTCAGGAGACGGGAAATATTTCACCATGAATATGTGACACAAGAAGAAAGGCTCTTTGAGAACCAGACGATGTATGCCCTTGCAGTCTTTTCATGAATATCAGCAGGTTTTCCTTGAAGCACAAATATCTGTGCTAAGTGTCTGTGAATAAGATACAGGAAACAAAACCCCAACCTTTAGTGAATTTGGCCTTTGGTTTTTTTATTCGATTTGCCTAAATTATTCCCTCATTAAGAAGTCAAATTAAAATTGATTGTATTTATGTATTTATTATAGCCTAAAACCAACCTTTCCTCCTTAGATTCCATATTCATGGAGCAATGGGGAGTGAAACAGGGATTTACATTCATCAGGATGCTAGCTGACCCCAAATGAAGCTTTCAGAGGAAGAAGAAACATTTTTTATAAAGCGCCTCTGAAGATAAAATTCACAAGATATGTAACAAGAACAATACAAAAAAAGGACTATTATAAAAAATAAAAATGGGAGAAAAAGAGATAATAAGATTAGAAATGTGAATAAAAACGAGCTGCCGCCATCTTGTCGCTTCATCCCATCCACCAGACGAATAGGGGGCCCTGATTGGCCCACAAAGCAGATGGAGCGCTGTGACTGGCCCACCATTGTGCACTAATCACAGTGCTCTTTTCAGTTAAAAACGCCTATAGGGAGCTGTGATTGGCCAGCCGGAATGCTGCGGGTGTTCCAATGGAGTGTTCCTAGACCAAACTTTGCAAGGTGAGAATTTGGTCTAGTTCACTAGGCTAGCTCAGCTTAGCAATGTTCCTGAGACGGGAGAAGGAGGAGCGAACAAGAGAACTGTCATGAGAATCCAGGGTGACAGCTGGGTCAAAGGTCACACCAGGACTGACCAAGAGAGTCTCTGACTTTGGGAACCAGCTTGTCTGGGGCACAGATGAGGACCTCAGTCTTATCTTCATTCAGCCTCTTTTAGCAGAAAGAGCCCAAAACAAACAATCGGCCTTCTGTTTGCAATGGATTAAGTCTGAACCTGTAGGCACACACATAAACAAAGCAAACAACAGTATAGAATGACAAACATACCACTCCAGTTTTTCATGTTGTTGGACTTTACGAGTGAATATCTTCACACAGCGCAGTGCTAATTGGCCCATTATATCCCGATTTTCTCTCTGGCCTCGGTTTTTATTTGGTTTTATACGAGTGTGTCTGTAGCAACACTTTAAAGCCGTGCTGTTGGGAGATTATCAGGCCATGCTACAGCGATGGACATTATCACTCAACTACATGCATCACTTCTCCTCTGCTTATTGGTCAGAATGGCTGCTGGGGAGCTCAGCACAAGAGCTGCTTTGTGAGTGTGTGTGTGTGTGTGTGTGTGCATGATGTGTGTGGTTTGTTTTTGCCTCATCTCTCTGCCTGAGCCTGTAGTGTGTTTGATGATGTGAGTACCAGTGTGCGTGTGCTCTGAGTGTTCGTCGGTTGGGTGTGCACGCTCGCAGGATGACATTTGGTGAAACGTGGCAGCGAGAGAGGAAACATCTGACTCATAATTGAAGTGCCATGAAAGAAATATGGTCATGAATCTGCATTAGGCTTATGCACTTGGCTTTAAACCAGCGGCAGGAGCAGGAGGCGGCATGCTCAGCCTGACTACCTTCCCACCCTGAAGGCTGATTACAACGCTCAAAAGGATACTCCACAAAAATGACAGAGGAAAACACGGCGTATTCAAGGCGCGCAATCCTGATAACAAAATCGATAGGCCGTGGCGCTCTCATCTCCATCAAAAAGAGAGTCTCAGGATGAATGTAGCTGTGCCTCTGTGATTCACCCAAAGCAATCATCTCAATGTCCTCTAGGATAAAGGGGCACTCCTTCTGCTCTTGACGAGGAGCTCCACCTGCAGAAAGCTGAGGCAGACCGCTCTTTCAGGAAGACATTTCGTTTTTTCAAATGTGACCAAATGTTAAGTAAACATCGAAACACATCCGTCCTCCTAACAAGCTCTTCTTAAGGAACCAGAGTCCCTTTCTGCTTAGTGGTTCCTGTTTCTGCACAACTGCATGCACCTACATAAATTATCCTGACCTTTTGACCTTTGGGCTTTTCCAACCCAGGCAACAAGAAGCATTTAGTAGCTCCTTGCTTTGTCCCCCTTTGAGCTCTAATCAATAAGCTGCACTGTCCCTTTGGGCTACATGTCTTCATTATGATGAACATGGGAGCTGTAGTTCATTTCCATTCAACATGCAGCTCCTGTAAACAGTAACACGTGCTCGGGACCAACGCACACAGAAGGCTTCCATTATTTATCTTTAGCTGCTGATCTAAAATGAGCTTGATGGATAGTTTGGGTTGTAGCCAATTGGTCCAGTGGGTCAGAGGTGAGGAAGTTCTGAAAAGGTCAGTCCATCACCGGACCAACATGGAGACATCCATACGCCATCTCACTTCCTTGACTCAATTTGGAACGGGCAGAAACTCCTTCCAGAAAAATCCCAGGCAGCGTTTAAACCCACTCTGCCTCATGAATAAAACATGCAACCTTAAACTGGATTTATGAATAAAATACACCAATTAGTACCACTTATTTCACCTCACTGAAGTACCCGCTCTTTAATGCCAACAAACTCCCGCTAGTGCACGCTAGTAAATATCCGATCATCTATCGCAAATGTCAGACTAACTTTACTGGAACTGTAATGAGTTCTGACAAGTTCCAGCATGTTCCTGGAATCGGTTCCTTAGATTAGGCTTTTCTGTTCTGGTGCTTTTCTGAGACTGCAGCTGGCACCGCAGTTTCTGCGTGGAGAAGGTGCCATGCTGTCACATGTCACATGGCATGCTGAAGACAGCACGTATCACTCACGGCATTGCTTCTGTTACACAAAATATGTCGTCTTAACAAGATGAAAGACTTCATAAAGTCATGAGGGGATTGCGGTAGATTTGAAGTTACACTTTGACTTCAGGATAAAAGCTCAAATAGTGTTGAAAAGCCTAAGATCCATAGAATAACAGGTCAGAGCTTTTTATAGAAGCAGTAACAGAAAAACAGCAGTGTTCACAGCTGTGATGACTTATGTGTGAAAAAAAATACATGATTGATAATCGGCTCCCTCTCAGGAGGGTACGTAAAAAGTAAAAGAGCTTTGGTCGGTAGAGCAGATCCAGTCGTGTGAGTCAATCTGCAGCCAAGCCCAACCCCTTCTCCTGCATCCATCCAGCATCACGCCCATCTCATCATCTCTCATCCTCATTACAATAATTTCTTCATTTATTCCAAATCCCAAATACATCAACAAACCCACATTCAGCAAATTCGGTTACTTTGATGGTGATGCATGAGCACCTGCATGCTGCATGTGAGCATCACATCAACGGGAAGGACAAGATAAAAAAAACAATCTGTTTTTCACTCTGCCTCATTTAGAGTCCATGTGACAATCAGCAGAGCTCATTACACCCAGGTGCCCTACAAAGATGCCCCAGAAAACCGTCCTTAGCGGAGGAGGTGAAGAAGAAAAGGAAAAGAAGAAAAATGTGCTTACCGAGTACTCCGACTCGATAGTTGAGCGTGATGACGATGACGTTCCCGTAGCTGGCCAGGACACTTCCGTCGATCATGTTTCCTGTCCCCTCCATGTAGGACCCTCCGTGGATGTAGACCATCACAGGCTTGGGCCCGGTGTCTCGTATGTCTGCAAAAGCGGCCATCATTAACACATTCACATTGTGGTCCGCCCATTCTGATCAAGGGTCAGCTCAGACACATACAGCAGTCACAGCACATGGCGGCCACAAACAGAAACCCCCCTCCCAGATACCAGCTGTAAACACACAGCCTGCTAATGGAAATGGATGTAACGCTCTATCAGATCTGCTCCATGAGAAACAAATTAATGTCCAGTCCACTTAAACTCTATTACAATAATTGGCCATCTTAGCTTTAAAAAATGGTGGCTGGTCATTTGTGTCATATGCATCACACCGCTGGGTTTGTATGTGGTTGCCTTCTAGAGCTGTTACTTCCTAATATAGACATGCACAAAGCCATTAGGGAGAATAAAGAAAGAGGTACTCTGACACATCTCCTAAGCAAGAGGAAGGCTAATCTGGCTTGACAGTGATAGGGGAAAACGCACTGGCTAATTACACAACGCTACCTTGCGCCTCCTTTCTACACAGCCCTATCATGCTGCAGCAATTTATTTGCACAGTCCTGCTTGGGAAATGGCTGGCAGTTAAGATGCAGTTTTGGTAAAATTGTTGTTTATTTTTCTCCCAGAGGAGGGTTTGATACCCAGCTGGGGCGACACTCCAGCCAGATAAAGCAAATCCAGCGGTAGACGGGAAAGAAAAAAGCCTCTGTCTGAGGAATAGACTGAATTACTGACTGGCTAGCTCGAGCTGGGAGACAAGACAAGAAACTCTCTCTCATTTTCACCCCCCCCCCCCCCCCCCCCACCCAGTGTTCTGTGTAGATTCTCGCTTCCCCCTCCTTCTCTCCTCTCCGTTCCCCACTTTGTATCACTTTCCCTTCACAGACTCTCCCTGTTTCTCTCCTTGCCTTCTCCCTCAATCTCTGTCCAAGTCTCTGCCTTTCCTCTCTCCAGAGTGGTGAGAATGAGTTTGGGGGTGGGAGAAAGCCGAACATAAAGATGGACAGCAAAGAACGGAGGAAGAAGAAGAAGAAATACCGATATAAAAAAGCACGAAAAGGAAGGAAAAAAAGCAATGAGTCAGATTTAAAAGGGTGGCATTGTATTCTGGTTGCTATGGTGACTGAGAGCCAAAATTCAAAATCCTGACGAATGGCTCTGAGCAACATCCTGAAGAAAACAGGCTGCATCGATTTGCAGACACTCGTCGTGACGCTTCCACGTTAGCATGTTTAGCACAACAGCACTTAAGGTGATTTATGCAGGGATATACATTGTTTTCAGCCCGGATTCAGGAAGCATTTTGTTATTATTCCCCTGGTTATTCATGGCTCTGTTAGGTTTAAAAGCAAAGCAATAACGTGTATATGATGTGGAATTATTTATGGCTCCCTTTATCTTGCTGGTATCTGAGAAGGCTACACAGTGAAATGTGATTTATAGCTGACAACTCCTCTAGACACACACTTATCTCAGACAGGAGGAGGAGGAGGAGGGGGATGCAGAGGGTGAGAAAGCATGAAAAGTACAGTGAGAGGGGGAAGGTGGAGCAGGAAGAAAGAGGGTAGAGGAAATCCTACACACGCTCTTCAAACAAATGGGCCACAGATACAAAAGGATGACAAGAGAGGGAAAGGGAACAGGGGGCAGAAATACAAAAAAAGAGAAGATTAGTCATGTCAATGTTATCAGTCACCTCTTTTGTTGATCCATATTGTGTCACCATGACAACAGTTAAATCCCTTTGGAAGAGCAATACAAAACACTGGAGCTCCTCTCGTTCTAATCTATTTATTGAGTTGGTCTGATGTGGAAGGTGTCGACACAGATATGATATACAATTCTCACGGACACCAATTCTGATGCTAGAGGAAGGTATACATGCAACAGATCCCAACTGGATCTTGGTTCACCAAGGGGAAGGAAAAAAATCAACAGTCTTTAATGGATCCATCTGCTTCTGGCGTGCAGCAAAGCAGAGCCCCAAGGCAATACGAGGAAGAGCTCATTTTAACGAATTACCCCAGTCTTTTATTGATTCCTGTGAATTGCCTAATCTGGTGAAACAGGTGACTAATATGTCTCCTCAAAGATATTCCTAATTGTACTTCGCCATGGGGGGCAAATACATGATTACATGAACAGGTGTATTTATAGTACCAGGGACGCTGTAGTAGAGAGAAGCAGAGATATATTTATTACACACAAAGGTTTCAATAAAACTCCATGCAGAACAGTACATTCCTGTGTTTTGCTGATGAACAAAAACTCATAAAATTGTGAAGGATGTCAAAAAGTGACTTGAACATAAGAAACACGTGTAAATGACTCTTTCTGTCAACGAGACAAGTGACATCATGCAGGACTTTTTGTACAGTGACACAGACATTCATACAATCACAGCGTTCATTCTGCTAGCAGTAGTTCTTTGCAGCAGCATAGAAGCAATAGAAGGTTTTAAAAAAAGAATGTTTAAATGCAATCACTGCTAGTTATTCAACTTCTAACATCCGCCAACGTGAAGACACATTCTGCCTATGTTGTCCTGTAAAAACTGAGAAGTGCAACGAGAACCAAGATGGACATTAATGTTGAAGCTGCCGACAGCGGTTCATCAGGGTCACCATGGAAACAACACTTTGTGAGACAGAACCACCAGTAACCTGACACAGGGTATGCTGCCAACAGAAACAAAGCTTGAAAGTAAAGGTTGTGTATATAATATGAGTTAGTTCAATTTTTTTTATTTCTGAATCAAGAGTCCGCCAAGACTCTGATGGCCATGCTTTATTACCATTTGTCCATCCATAGTGTTTTATGTAGCACGTGTACCATGTTGAAAATAACCCTCACATTCAATTTTTATAAGAATAAAAGCTCTATGAGATGACAGTAACCACAAGGATAATAGTAACTCCCACCAGGGGTAATCTGTGCTCGGTATCGGCTCATGTTATTCATTTTTTAATGTGTCAGGATCGGTCTGAGAAGTAAAACTGGACCGATATTTAAATAATTATATTTTTCCATCTTGTTTGCATTTCTGGGTGATGATGTAAAATTGTTTAGTGACAGTGATGATAATCACCTCAGATCGTAAATGTGTGACATCGCCACAGTTACCTGAACATTTTATAGTAAGATACAAATCATGAAACTTAAGCATCAATTTAAAATATCAGAATTACAGCTGTGAAATCCACCTCCGCTCTATTACTGCAAATGTCAAAGTCATGTATGAGAAAATCACATTTTTGTGGTATAGATATATTTTCTACGCTGTTTAATATACTAGAACAAAAACTTACAGTGCATTATTCTCCATCGAGTCACAAGTTTAGTACATAATTTATGTTTTTTTTTCTAAAGCTGCAGGAGAGATATGTGGAGATAACAGGGGGATATTTATAATGGTGCTTTAATGCTTACGCACCGACACCCTGAACAACCTAGTGCATAACTTCTCTCTCTTTTTGGACAGCTGGGACAGTAAGGCCCAGGAACTCATCACAGGGCATGAATTTTAGAAAGGGCTAAGGGGCACAACCTTTCAACAGTGCCTCTGGACTGATTGAAGTGTCAGAGGGAGGCATAACTCAAGCCAGCGCCAAGCCTCTAAACTGTTGCTGCTGCAGGTAAAAACCACACCAGGAGCGCTCGGAGCACTCCTTCCTTTCCTCTGCCACCTCATTTTCTTTCTCCGCCTTCCCGTCCACCCTTTTTTTGCCCTTGGTCCATCGCTGCGGTGGAAGCAGTCAGTCATATATCTGACGCTGAGAGCTCCAGAACCGGCCTTGACACCGCAGAGTGGGACAGGACAGAGCTGAGTGGAGATAAGTGTTGCGGCATTCACTGTGTCAACACTTGGGGAAACACGGTGGCTGTCAGCGGCTATCAATGGGGTCTGAGGTGGGAGGGAAAAGGGTGACAATGTCCTGATGTGGTGAGACGTGACATGTACCCTACTGTAGGGCTCTTGTCAGGCCAAGCTTCACGCTTCCTTCCTGACAAGTCCATTACAAGCTATGTTCACATTTAAGAAGCATATAATAAATCTTGGAAAGCCTCTTGTAAAGTCAGCAAATCACACCTCAGCGACTGTCCGGGCACAACTCCCTTAGAACTCGGAATATATACTTAATACGTAGATTATACTCACCTGAATGTATTTGTACTGTGTGACAAGGCTTTTGGGGGTGGGGCGAGGGGTGTGTGCTTGAAAACACACATTAAAAATGTCACTTCTGGACACACGAGGACCACTGTACAGTAGCTGCTTTGTGTTAAAGCTTATTGTGATCGACTGAACACTTGCCTTTTGGAACCGCTGGACTCTAAAGAGCAATGGCGGCTGGCCAGTAGAGGGCGATAGGGTGCCGCCCTCCCAGTTTTCCCCAGTTTCCACCTATATATATATATATATATATATATATATATATATATATATATATATATATATATATATATATATATAGGTGAGAAGCTCTCTGCTGAGCGGTGGAGGCGACAGAAAGGCTGTGTGCTGTGTTTCAGTCGCCCAAACAGCACGGAAGCAGCCGGCCAATTGCTGACAAGAAAATCAAACGTTAGGAATGGGAATGTATCCAATCAGTGTTGACGTCGATTCAGAAGCATGATGGGCGATAGAGCTACTGCCCAAGGCTTTCGTTGGTGTTCGGTAGAACTCGGCAGAGTCTCGACTACTCCAGCACGTTTTTGGTCGTGACGCAGACGTAATAGACATGGACGCCGCCAGTGAGCCTACAACCAGCATGGATACCGGATCTCAGCAGCCACTGAATTCAGTTCAGTCCCTTCTCCACTATCCGTTCGAGAGGAGAACTATGGTGGAAAAACTTAATGTCAAAGAGCTTGGACCAGATCAGCCCGACGTAAAGATAAGCCAGCAGGAGGAGGAGAGAGGTAAACTGTACACACTAGGCTTCTCCCGAAATTGGTACACCAGGAAGGCTTGGCTAGCTGGATGCAGTCACCCTAATGCTTTATTTTGCTTTCCGTGTTTGTTATTCAAAACGGCT